TCAAGCTGAACATGGGCCTGGAAGGCGCTGCCCTGGGCCAGGCTCTGGCCAATGACCTGCGTCCCATCCTTCTGCTCATCTACATCGTCGTCTGGGGCCAGTGGTCGCACCAGTGTTGGGGTGGATTCTCTCGCAAGGCCTTCACTGAGTGGAGCGTGCCGGTGCGACTCTCCATCGCCGGATCGGCTGTCAACCTGGGCGAGTGGGCTGCCTTTGAAATCTTGACGCTCAGCACATCCTACCTGAGCACCGAGCATCTTGCCGCACAAACTATCTTGACGACCATCTCCGTCGTCATGTGGCACATCCCCTTCTCCATCTCGGTTGCCATCAGCACCCGCATCGGTCACTTGATCGGCGGCGGGCTCGTAGCGACCGCTCGGCGAGCCACAACCGTATACGCCATCGTCTTTACCGTCGTCGGTATCCTGGACGCCATTCTAATCTTCCTATTCCGCCACCAGCTCGCCCTTGTATTCTCCGAAGACGCCGAGGTCCAAAGGCTCACGTCCGACTCCATGCTTGCGGTTGCGGCTTTCCAGCTCATCGACTCCATCATCAGCGGATGCAACGGCGTGCTGCGGGGTCTCGGCCGGCAGGCGGTCGCGGCTTTTGTCGTATTTGCCGTGAACTATCTGGCTGCAGTACCGCTCGCGGTCTGGCTCGAGCTGGGATCACCAGGCCTAGAGTTGGATGGTGCCTGGATAGGCCTTGGTGGCGGCATGGTTGTCATCGCCATTATCGAGTGCATTTACATGAAGGTGATCCGCTGGCAAGACTGTGTCGAAAGTGTGAGAGATAGAGAAGGCATGTAATGGATTCATTCCAATTCAACAAAAAGCGGACTAGCATAAAAATACCATAGACAAGTTGATTAGACTTTATTATTCTCACGATACCTCGGCCCCCCAACTGTAAGGAAACTTCATCTTGACCGCACCGCTATCCCTAGTTCCCTCTTGAGTGCGCCGCTAAAGAACACTATTTCGGTGACGTATGCAGCATGACAGCATTTGACATATGGTGGTGTTGAGACGGAGTCGCGTAAAAGAGAGACCACCTGGCAGGGGCCACCTCAGCCCCTTTTCAGTGGGTCTTTGCCTTATGTCAGCGAGACTCCATTAGAACAGTGCGATGCACAGTCTTCGCATCCAACCGTCGGCATGTTGAATGGACGACTTGCACCTTCACGTCTGCAACTATCTACACCCTGAAAGCACAACCTCAAACAGCAACCTGCCGGCTTGCCCTATTCCGACAACAAAGTTATCCAGGACTTCTAATCAATATCGAAGTCTTTTGACCACTGCCGCCGTTCAAGGCTGCCCAGCCAATCTCGCATCGCCACTAAATGGCGGTCCGTCGACGTTGAGAATAAGTACACGATGCCCGGCACCGGGGTCCAAGCCCATCCCGATGCTGCCCAGGAGCGGCCGCCTTGTACGGTCTGCTGCGATCTCGACAAGGCGCATATGCCTGGATCTGTCGACTCCAGGGATTTTTCCCGCGATCTTAGGAGCATTATTAAGGCCGGTAAGAAGGGATGCCAAATATGTTACGCCATCAAAGTTGCTATCTTTTGGGGCAATAATGTCAACGTTCCCAAGAAGAGGCTGATGCTTGATGATTCATACGCCGTCATTCACCTGTACGAGGCTATCTCTATCCAATCATTTGTCAAATATCGGAACTTCGCGAACAATGTCATTCTCGTGAAGGGCATAGTCGACTTGTTCACGAAACCAGGTGAGAAAGTGATGAACCTTGAGGGGGCTTTCAGGATGGATATTGACACATTCACAGGCAAGCCGCTGCCGTGGAAGTCTATCGGAGTCTCTAATGAGGTTCCTCTCAAACTACACTCTAAGCATCGGCAGAAGACGATCCGTGGATGGGTCGATGAATGCAATGCAACACACAAGACATGTGGCACGAGGATGTATCCGTCTGATCCCGGTCTTGCTCCTCGGCGGTTTCTGGATCTTGGAAAAAGCCCGCGGAACGGTATCAAACTGGTCGACTCTTGTTCAGTCTCCGGGCCCTACATCACCGTCGTCCATGGCTACACCGGCCCGTTACCGGCTCCTTCATCGTTGACAACCTCGGAAAACTTCGACCAGCGCCAAAAGTCTTTGCAGTGGTGGCAAATACCTGTGGCCCTGCAAGAGACCATGACGGTCGCTAGCGAATTGGGTATCCAGTATGCTTGGGTCCAAGATTTCTGCGTCATTCAAGACATCGAGGAAGACGTAAACTGGCACTTGGCTCGAGAGGATATCATCTTCGGACGGTCATACCTCACTATCGCCTTGACAAGCGTTAAAGATCTCAGGCTGAGCAATTTCGGCCCCGAGCGACAGAACAGCATAGCCGGCGTCGAAAACGCGGGTAGATCCGTTGCCATTCAAGTCAGTAAATTTGGCCGCACACACTACATTTATGCTCGGCAGAGTATGCATTGGTATCACGTGGCATTCGCCAACAAGACCTTGTTGCGGCCCATGGATGATGACGAAGAATCAAATGTCTTTGAAGAACACCATGGACTCTTCCAGCATGCCCCTGCTTTCCAGCGCCTTTTGCTGTCTCGCAGGGTGCTTTATCTGCACAAGTCAGAGCTAGTGTGGGACTGCCTTGAACGGCCCAGATGCGAGTGCGATGACCCAATGTACTTTGGACAAGGACACAATTTTGTACAGAACATCCTGAAGAAACCCACCTGGATCTCGCGCGGGGCCGTCGGGCCTCCCGACTATGTGCTCAAACTTTACAAAGCCCTAACGCCGGCCGACCCCGAAGAGAAGCTGGCAGTTGTCGCCGGCCTCTTTCGACACATCCTTCGTCTCAATGGAAGATCCCACTTCGCCGGGATCGCAGTAGACACACCTGAAGAGCTGTCGCTTGACCTTCTATGGACCACCCTGCCGCCTGAGAGGGCGCAACTGAACCAGCTTGACCAAGATTCCCCATCTATCCCAGACGCATATCGACATCACACCAGTCGCATCCCGTCATGGTCCTGGGCATCCATGGTTCTGAGCAAGGGAACTACATTTGGAGGAGCCTCACAGCTATCGCCAGGCTACACATTCGACTCGTTCGATCGCAGTATGTCATTCGGCTCAGTGGGAATGTTCTACGACGAGTTGCCCGGATCCGACGATGGTCTGCTAGCCACCAACTACCGCATAAAAGCCAAAGCGGCGATTCGACCGATCACTGCCGTGCCACCGATGGGCAGAAGACCCCTAATTCCACATCTGTTTAGCTGTTACGACGGTGATCCCTTGGATCGCAATTCTCACATGATCTTCCGGTTTCTGCCGGATTGCGCGAGGCTTCGCGGTTCGTTCCAAGCCAGTGATGGGTTCAAATGTTACATTATGCTGCTAGGCGTCGTGACGCCAGTTGGGCATGACCGGGAGGGACCAATCAACCAGTCTTGTACCTGTGCAGATACTGAAAACCACATGCAAGTTGGCTTGGTCCTGCGAGAATCGCTGCGGAATGAGGGTGCATTCGAGCGGATTGGGACGTTTGCAGTACCGGAAAGTCGCGGCATGTTCTTGGGAGTCGTGCCGCGTGACTTGACCCTAGTCTGATGCAGAATGGATGGCTTTTTTTTAGCTGCTGGGGGGACTTTTTGTTATGCCAAGGTCGGCATAGATCAATCCCAATCTCCAAAGAATGACAAGACAACCTCGATGATTGTTTCCTTCATGGAAAGAAAGTAGGACGACTTCTAAAAATGCTAGATATGCTGGTAGTCGAAGGTCGTCGGAAGTGGGGTACAGCCCGGCCATGAAGTGACATGTCCGGCTCTCTATTGCAAGTGATAGGAAGCACGCAACAATGCAAACATTGATAGGCGTCTAAATTCTTTTAACTTATCTCAAGTGTTGATATTTGACGTTTCCGTTATGCCTTTGAGCACTTGACACTAGGCACACAGTTACAATTCGATGCACATGCAGAGCCTGACCACGCTCCTCTCCATGCATATGCTAGTAGCTGCCAGTACCTACTGCCAACTGCCGGACAGTCACAACACCAAAAGGGAGGACACTGCAAGCGAGAGGTGAAGTATCTCAAAATGCAAAAGAAGAGACGCGATCGGTGGGACTCGAACCCACAGCCTTCCGATGATCTTTTACTCGTAAAAGTCGGACGCTCTGACCAAATTGAGCTACGAAAGCAACCGCTGTTGGATGACGATTCCCGCTCAGATTGGGGCTTAGGTATTGTTTGCTGTAGACTGGTGGAGCAGCCCCTCCAATGGGTCCATGTCCGTCCCGGTCAAGTCCGTCAGCCGAGAAGCCGGTGTCTTTGTTCGTTCTACTGTTGACTCATCTTTCCAGGTGACACCAGAGTTTGGGTGTGAGTAATTTCGTTGCTATTGTTGTTATTGTCAATGACTCTATGAGACGTCAGCATAGTTTTTGTCAACCAATCTCGTTGCTCGGAACACGGCGAAAGTGGCAAGTTGTTAGCCCGATTGTTTGTGGGCTGGAAATCCTCCCTTGCAGAAGCTTGCAGAAGATTAGCATCCATGAATCCAACTACGAGCCACAGACACCAGCAATAACCACTTGGATCGATAGCTCAGTGGTAGAGCGAGAGATTGCAGTTCCTCAGCTGTAACTATCTCTAGGCCCCGCGTTCGAATCGCGGTCGGTCCTTGGATTCCCTTTTGACATTTGCTGCAGATTGACGGTGAGCAGAAGTGAGAGAGTTTGCTACGTTTTTGTTGTGTGTGTCTCCGCAAAGGGATGGGACTCGCTTCGCGTGCATTTTGGGGTTGTCCACTTAGAGTTGAGCTAGGAGGGTCCACCGATTATGTAAATGACTCGGTCGGACCTCCCGACTAGAATTACTTCGTAGAGCGGGGATGAATGAGGCGGAATCAGTCTTCATAATTGTACTTCAATGCAAGTATGTAATGAGATGTATGCAGGTTCATGAGAAAGAGAGTATTTGTGTGATCGGCGGATTTGTCAATATCAAAGAGGCACCATGAGAGCGGCACCCGCCATTACCGCAACTCCCCAAACAGCCATCATAACGCCATTAACTATAGACGAACCGGCGGCCTTAGAAGAAACTCCAGAACTGGGCGTCTCAGTCGGGCCCGTAGACGAACTCTCTCCAGAACCAGCAGCCGAGGTCTGAACTGCAACCTCAGAAAGACCCTTATTCACAAGCGTGATCCCAGGCGTGATCAACGCGCCAACGTAACTCGTGCTGTCCTTTGCCTCAATAGTCACTGTGTTCGGTTGCAACGAAACAACCGAGCCCTTGATCGATATGGAGCTGCCTGTAACGACTCTCCCGTGGAAAGTAAACGTGCGGTCTACCACTTCCACATCGTTTACATTGTACAACTTGCAACCTGTAGACGCAGTGTAAACCTCTCTGGCGGTGGAGGAGTAGCAGTTCCCATATAGTCCCGCGGTATACCCACTAAGAAAAAGAAGAACACATCATCAGACCTTTCCCAGCTTTCGAGAAGGAGAGCTCACTTCAAAAGGGTGCTGAGCTTACCTCGGACAACACGCGATCACAGTCTCCGAAGGCTCCATCGCAGACATGAACAAATCCGCCCTCAACTCAAACGTGGGGTTAATCTCCGACGCAATAGACGTGGTCGTCCCGGCGTCGAAGGTCAGCGTCGGGTCGGCAAAGACGCCGCTCAATGAATGCGACGATGTCTCATCGCGGATACCGTAGCCTGCGGTGACCCATCCGGAGGGACACTGGCTGCCCGGGGAATAATGGAAGAGGAACCGCTCAGTAGAGGTCCGGCGTGAGTGGTATTCTGAGTTCATGGCATCGCCGGAGGGGATGCAGTCGTCGTATGGGTCGCGGTCGACTTCGCAGGTTTGTTGCCAGTATGCCACGCCCGGATCAAATTTGCGAGCTAGCGCCGGGGTTGGGGTTGAGGTTGCGCATGATGCCGGGGCTGTCCATATTGTCGTTAGAGGTCCTAGGTTGAGGAGGACTGTCCCGGAAAGAGTAGGCGTCGGCATGGTGAAGGTAAATGGTAACTGGATGTGTGACAAAGATCCTGAATTGGGACTGTCATGGCGCGAAAAGTCGAGGGAATCGCGGAATTTTGGGTGGTTTTCATGTTGTTGCCTGGATAAGAATCTAACCTGATGGTTGATATTAGCTCCGGCGCAGCCCAATCATCACGCAATATTACTCTAGGTTATAATATCCTTGAGAAAATGGACAATTTTGATTGCTGGAATCTGCCGATGCAACCGCAATCTAGGACAATGATACATGGATCTCACGCCAAAGGGACTTTGGTAAGTGCCATTTGACCTCGGTCACACGAAGGATCAACATAAAGCAAATTTAAGCTTAAAAGGTTGACAAATGTCTAATATTGAATAGCAGCATCAACTCGGACCAAAATTCCATCACTCACTTGGTGGCAAGTGAAGCTCAATCGCTGCAACCGATCTCAATACCCTTGGCAAACAGCTTGCCTCCAACAGGAATGAATCCAGCAAGAGCACCAGCAATGCTCCCAACCCAGCCGCATCCACCGCTCTCCGAGTTGGCAGTAGCCGAAAACTCAATAATCAAGTCATCAGGCTGCAGCTGACCGTCAATGTACGCCGTCACCCGCAGCGACGACGGCACCTTGTGGCCCCAAGTATGGTTCATGCACTGCGCCAACCCGGGCGAGTTCTCCCTGCGGCACGCGTACTGACAATTTCTCGAACTCTGGGGACCACACGCCGCGTCGGGCGTGTACCCGACGCCCTCCATCCACGTCAGTCCCCGGCAGCCGTTGAAGACCTCGTATCCGTAAGGGTCCGAGACTCTGCTGAGAACCTCCCACATGGACTGGACGAGGCCGTCGCGCATCTCGTTGCCCTCGAGGCCTGGCGTCTTCCCCCAGGCTCCGTTCATCTTGACTCGCACCGTCACGTCCGGGTCGTAGTCGTCGGCGTGCGTGCACTCGTTGGTCTGGGCGCCGGCGGAGCGGTCCGTCATGATGGCTCTGGTGTTGCCGGTCTCTCCGTAGATGGTTTGCCACGTTACGGCGAAGAGGTCGAGGTTGCCGACGTCGATCATCCTGTCGCTGAATCGCACTTCCATCTGGACCGCTGCCGAGGCCTGGCTGGCCAGAGTGGCGAGGAGGAGTGTACCGATCGTCTTCATCTTGGTTCTTACACTGGCTTCCAGGGCATGATGTCAGCTTTAACGTCCTAGTAAATCAATATTGTTGTGTTTAGGGCTTACAGAAAACTGCAGTAAAGAGATTAGAGAATATTCCGATCACAGGACTCTAGCGATGGCTTCCACAGATGTCTGAGGGTAGCCTGCATTCGAATTTGAGCCAAAAGATGGGCTTCAAGCCCCTATTATACTTATGCTCACATCAATTCATCGAGTGGCTCCATCCATCTCACGATAATCCGAAGCCTGCCTAGTTATTGAACTCAATCTGCCATGCTCCAGATATCATACTCGAAAAAGGGAATGCAGTGTGATGGCCTGAGAGGCAAATACCCATAACCTCCATAAGTCTTCCATTCACAAGCGCCTCCTCGGAAGCTGATTGGAAGCAATTTAAGCGTGCCCGACAAAAGTGCTCCTGAATTTCTCGTTACCAACTTTGAAGCTACCTAAAAAGGTGCCCCGGTTGCTCAGCCGGTCACAGCATGGGAATTGCGCACCTTGAGGAATAAGGATTTTACGGCACATGCATGCCACGTTTCTGACATGTCAAATCCCATCGGCTTAAGATACCAGGAATGAAAGGACCCTCTCCACGTTGGAACCAGGGGCGTAGCTGGGGAGCATCCCATAAAGGAAGCCTGGAGTTGCATTGACGTACAAAATTGGGAAGTCTTCCCCATTTAAACCACTATTTACGGTCCAAATGGCAGGAGGCTCAATCCAAAAGTTCCCCCTGACAGGTTGGCCAAGAATATCGAGGGCATGCGCGTTTCAGTTGTTCAAATCAGCACCCTCCAGATCAGGCATCTCGAGTCATGAAAAGAAGCAGGTGGTGAGCAGGTTTGCTAAGAGCTTCTTCGTTGTTTCTTTTGCACAGCACTACTGCAGTACGATGGATACTCAAACGACATAGAGTTCATATTCACAATTGCTCGCTGAAAACTGCGAGCATTTCCTAAGGTCAAAGTCTTATACACAAAGTTCATCGTGACAAGGCAAGCAAAAACTGGCGTTCCAACGTATGGCGAGACTGCAGACTTATTGCTCCTCCTCCAACGAGTTCTCGTTGTCGTGATATCCAGGAGCAGACCCTTATCAAAATGGCAATCTTCAACCGTCACACGGACCTCCGGCCGCATTTCCAGAAATGTGCTGCCCACCACATGCAACTGTGGGCACCTCGTCCCATATCTCACCTAATATTTACGCTTATCCGCTTAGATCCGTTCCTGAAGTGGTCTTATAAGGAGCCGGACCCAGTCTCCATCGTGGCATTCCGATCCCAAGTCCTCGCCCACTCGGGAACTCGGTCTTGGTATGCCCAACTACCCGCAAGGGTTGAGGGGCTGCGAGTCATTCAGAGCTCCATAGGGCTGACTCGTGTAACAACGGCGGCGAGATCCGATGCGATGTTGGTTTGAGTGGAAGGTGATTATACTCCATGGGTTCCTCTCTGAGTTAGTCGACATGTACCTATGTTGCTGTGTCCAAGCAAGTGTGCAGCACAGTATCTATTTCGTATGTCAGTACTTCTTTTATCAGTTTCCTTTTGGCCCTACTAAAGCAAAGGCAACTCCGACTGCTGCTGCTATTATAAGTGGTCTTTCTTCTAGTCTTCCACATACGCTCTGAAGAGAAGCACGCGGTGATTCTAGTGCTAGTGGTTCTCAGAAAGGGGTCACTCGTGTGTAAGCCGGTCTCATTATCCATCGCCCGCTTGCTACGATAAAATAGATGAAGCTTGGTCTTGAAAGGGCCAATGTCTCAACGGCGGGGCTTGATCGAAGGCCGAAGTCATTTGCCTCATGAGTGACGAGCAAAACAGACCCTTTCTAAGGGCTAGCGCTCACTCTGCAACCTTAGTAGGGCGCCAAGTCATTGTATTTTTATTGGGGGTATTCGAGATGATCCATGATGAACCGCCTCCCTCAAACCAGTAGATTTACGCATAGAGACTCTTGTGTCTTCGAGTGATACATCTCCATCAAGAACCCTAGGAAAGATACCAGCTCGATGATTCTAGATACTTCATGATTCTAAACATCCTGACTTTCTGTCAATGAGAGCGTTTAATCGACCACCAATCACCAAAACTTGAGGATTAGGCATGTAGCAATGACTTACATGATCTTTCTCTATCCATGTTTCACTGTCGTCTCTCTGTATTCATTGCATTCCGAATTACTGCCTTGGCTCAGATATTCGTAGAAAACGTTGGCAGATGAAAGCAGCGTGAACTTTATGCTCTCGCGTGGCTTGGGTAGGCGCACTTTATTGGCGATTTGACTTTTAGTATGTAACGGCGAGGAGTCATCAATTAAGGAGGCATCTTTCTCCGGAACGTGTACCTTTCTGATGTTGTGGTCGTTCCCATGGTTCAATGTTCTTTCCTTCTGTGTATATGTTCAATTCCGAGGAAGGAAAGAACAATAAGACAGCAGCCTGTGATCTTGAATACATCAAAGCCACGACGAAACAAGAATCAGTCAGACAACTTTAAAATATGTCTCCAGCAAAGAAGAAGCCCGGCAAAAAACAGCCATCCCCCGATCCTCCCGATAGCGATGACTCTAGTCTACCCGTCTTCTTCCACATGCCGCAAGAGAAGTGGCCATGGCACCAATTCTGTCAATGGTATCCCTCCGTCTTCACCGTCTCGAAACAAGAGATTTCCACCCTTTGCGGCCGCGAAGTTGACCCCGCCGACCCGTACGGAAGCATCACCGTCACCTGCGCGGAACAGTTCATGATGTACTGCAAGGCAGCCTACTTCGGCGACACGCAGCGACAGGCGCGTATCATGCAGGAGAAGGACCCCAAGGAGCAGAAGAAGCTCGGCAAAGGCACCGTGGGCTTCAACGACGCGAGGTGGGATGAGGTCAAGAGCAAGGTCGTGGAAGTGGGCAGCATTGCCAAGTTTGGGCAGAATCCGCACCTCAAGGCGATTTTGATGTCCACAGGGGAGAGGTTGTTGGTCGAGGCATCGAGGACTGACCGCATATGGGGCATCGGGTTTAAGGCGGATGAGGCTATGGTGAACCAGGCGAATTGGGGCGAGAATCGCTTGGGTAAAGCGCTAATGGAGGCGAGGAGGACCCTGAGAGAAGAAGAAGCTCAAGAGAGAATGGGAACGAAATCAAAGAGCGAGGAAGATGTGGAAGAAGAAGAAAAGACTGGGGGTATGGCTCACGCCCAATACCTGCCCTGACAATATTGCTAAAGTCTACACACAACAACTATCTCTGGTTCCAAGCAAACAACTCTATACTTGAGCTCCGTTCGACTCCGCAAATCCGCTGTCACCCTTGGCTAGCATTCTCCTCGCATACACTCTCTTCGCCCACTTATAGGCTTCGACACCAGCCATGAAGATGAAAACATCGACAAACACAATCGCCCACTCCCAGCTGATTCCATGATGCATAAACACCACATGATCCAACACGGGTATGTACAGCGTCGGAAACACAACAAAAAAGACAACTGTCACAGACAAAAAGAGAAACTTGTTACCCCACAGATGCTGGCCCCAAGCCTTGAAACCCGCTGGCATGTAGAAGAGAGACCGGCGTGAATCAATAAGCTCCCATGCGAAGAGGAGGAAGATCCAGGTCATGGTCGTATAACTCGTGGCACGAGCGCGGAATACGGGCTCGCAGGCTGTAGAGTAGGCGTTGTTGCACTCGATACCGAGGTTGCCGCCGTTGAAGCCGAATACAACCAGGGTGAAGGCTCCGAGGACGCAGCCTGCCATAATGAGTCCATAGACCACCATGTCGAGGATGAATTCGTGCGTGAAGACGCCGTATTTGAGCTAGGATATCATCGT